TCTTTCTTTTCAGTAGCTATTATTAGTTTCATAATCTTATGATTGGTTTAATAAATTTTGATTTAGAAAAAATTAGAATTGGAATTAACTTTCTTTTTTCATCATTCTGGTCTCAAAATTCAAATTTGAAACTCATAAGTTGACATAGTACCAGATTTTAACTGCTAAAATGCCCTCCTATGAGAAAATTCATATATAGTAACCATTCATATGCTCGGAATCCGCAATTTGTGAATAAATTTACAAATACTGGTACTAATATATAATAAGCATGCTACTCCAAAAAATATTTTTTGTTTTCAACTGATAACTTCAGAAAAATTAGAAGTTCTCTTTCTCGTTGCATTATTTGTGGCTCAATTTCTGAAAATTATGGCCAAAAAGTTTAATTGGGTCTGCTGCTTTATTAGGGGATCATGGACATGATTTTTGGAAACTTAAAAGTTAAAGCTATATTTTTTTACAAGGAAAGATCTTACTTATATTTGATAATTTGTATATTTTTATTACATAAAATATTAAATTTTATATATTTATATTATATTTTACACAAAAATTACATGTCATATTTATATCGTTATGAAAATATAAAATATATTTTTTTATTTTATTAAATACATATATAATTATTATTATAATTTTAAATTATGTTATTTTCTTATTTTATTTTTATATTATATTTATATCATATTACTATATTATATTTTAGATTATCAAGGCAGGTTAATAACATTAGGAAAGTGAGGTTGCAATCTCATTGTGGGAATTAATTTCCTTAAAAAACTAAACGAACCATTTAAATTAAACTTTGGTTCAAAGTTGAAACTAATTTGAAAGCAAGTAAATTGAAATTTTAGGAAAAACTAAAAAAAAAAAAAGATGATTAGATTTGGAATCCAGGACACTTGGGGGAGATGATTGCCTTTGCCTTTGTCTCAATGCTTTGCTTTATTGTAGGTGCAGCATGTGTGGAGAATCAATCTTCCCATTCTTTCCAACTCAACAAGTATATAAGCATCTCTACTTTTTTTTTCTCTTTGATTATTAAACTCATTATTATATTACTATATTAATTGTTTAGCTTTCTTTGTGGCACCTGCGTCCTCTCCGCCGGTGTGTGCCAATGTCCCCATCCCTTCCACTATTTCTTCTAGTACGAGTAATAGTTTTCTTTGACTTTTTCAAGTATTTTATTAATTATTTGATTCACCAGTCATGCGAATAATAACCCTTGACGTCCACTCTAGTCAAACTTAAACTGCTCAGGTATTCTTCCATTGAAATGAAAAAAAATGTGCTACCCTTTGTCATCCCACCAATAACAAAAGAAAAATAATTTTTGAACTTTATATTTTTTTAAAGGAAAATTTTTATATTTTTATCTTATTTAAATAATTTTTTAATTTTTAATTATGATTTAATAAAATTTTAATTTTAATTATACTTACATTAATTTTTTTAAATTTTTAAAAAGAAATTCAACTAGATTGTTTTGTCTGTAACAAAAGCTCATTTTCGATTTGAAAAAAAAATATTTGAAATCAAATTTAAAATTAAGATTTTGTTTGATTACAATAAAATTATATTAACTTATCTAAAAAAATGAAAAACTTCAAAGACTCATTTAATATTTTAGCCAATTAAAATTTAAGGACTTCTATTTGTTTGAGTAATAAAATATTGTTGACATCAATGTAGTATTTGATATGAGATAATCACTCAAAAAATATGATAATTTACAAATGGTGATTGGATCATCATGTTTGATAATCATTTAGTGACTTATGTGACAATAATTTTTTATAATTAAAAGTGATTAGATTACTGTTTTGGAGGATAATCTAATTCTCATCCAAATGAGTGATAAAAATTTTTTATTACTAAAGTAAAGTGGTGTATAAAATTAATAACAACAAATATTATTCATTTAATATATGAATTCAAAATTTATTTCTTCTCAAAATTAATTGTAATTATTTTATATTTTATATTTTATTTTTTGAACTAATATTGATTATAACAAGTTTAAAAATAATTTGTGTGATTTTTTTAATTTTTTAATTTATATATAATATAATCTTTTGATTTTAATAAATTAATGTTATCTTCTAATTCAATTTTTTTTTTTTACATTTTTTTTTGGTTCAAAACATTTTTCTACATATTATACTATAAAAATTAGTTTACCCGTCAATAAATATATTTTTAATTTAATAATTTAATGATATTTTATTATGAAGCAAATAAAATATGACTAATATTTTAGAAATTATTTCTTTAAATAATATTGAAATCATTAACTGGTTTTGTTATTATATTGTGTATGGTTATTTTAGTATTTTTAAATAAAATAATTTTTAATTTTTAATAAAATTTACAAAATAATCTTTAATTCTTAAAAATTAATAATTCTAAACTGAACAAAGTGATTTCATATCAATGAGTGATAAAATCATCTTAATAATAAAAGCACCTCAATAATTAAATTACTATAATTATATTAAAAATGATACAAAATTCTATCTAAATATTTTGAAAAGCATAGAATTCCCAATAAGAAAAATATATACAAGCACAAAATATAAATCCACTGTGACAGTGTATTGATTATGAACACGAACCCTTGATTAAATGGCTATGTATCTGCCATTATTTATTATTTTATGCCGTACAATTGGTTCTTCGTGATAAAGAAGGAGAGGGAGAGTGAAAGTCATTTATCTTTGTTTATCAAGCTGTACCTAAGATATTGGAGTAATTGTATCCAAAATTAATTAATATTGAAGCAGTGCTGCATGTAATAATTATTGGCCAAGGAAACCTGTGTGGCAGCAGTTAAAGCTTGGAGGTGGCACACCAGGTGGGAGGTAGGAAACTTTTTAATCCAAAATAGAAATTTTATTAATGAAATCAGTTCATAATCAAACTGGATTCAACTACAATCAGGCAACAAAATCAGCAAAGATGAATGTGAATCCAGATGGCAGCAGTTGTTTGTTGCCTGATTTTGGTACTCGATTCGCATTCATCTTTGCTAAGAAAAAAATCACCAAAATAAATAGTTTTCGTGAAGAAATAAATAAAAGAATTGCTAATGGGATGTAGGAAAATAATATTGGAAGAAGATGCTTTAGTGATAATGAAGAAGCTGGCGTCTTTTAAAGATTATCTTTCAAATTCAACCATTGGTCCAATTATATCAGTTGGCAGATGCAAACTACAAGGCCTTGAGGATTATATGGTTTCAACGTATGAGTAGGGATGTTCGATTAGTTTGATTAATTTAATAATTATTTGATTAATCAAATTTAATCGATTTGATTAATTAATTAAATTAAAAAAATAAATTTTTTATTTTTATTTTGTTCAAGATGAGTAGCTAGATAATCCGGTCCTTTTTGTGGACAATTGTCTAAATCACGCCGACGGAAAAAGTTAAAATTGGTGAGCGGTACTACAATTTCGGATTTAATTTAATCTGGTAGCAAAAGATATCTTTGAATGTGAGGTTATACATTCATAGTTCTTCTGGACGTTAAAAGAAAACCGATGGTATTTGAGAGTGGCCCAAAGGCACCTATATAAATATATATAGATATCCCTGGTAGCTTTGTTTCTTATAACAAACAAAAAGAAATCAAAATTAAATTCGGATTGTAATTGATATCGTTCATAATATTTAATAAATTTAAAATTTAAAATTATAATTTTTTTATTTTTAAATTGTGATTTTTGCCAAAAAAAAAAAATGAAAGTAACATTGGTAAGATTTGAAGTAGTAACTTCTCAGCGTACTCAAAATCAATCAAGTAAAAAAGATTAGAACCATGCATGGTTCCAAACTGACATGAAGAAAAGCCAGGTTCTTACAAGCAAAGAGAGAATGGTGACGGTTGGTCCAATCACCAATGTCTCCCACTTCCCAAACCCCCACACCAAGTACATTAAGTGAACTGTAAATTGTCTAGCTTCCATTTACCAGATATATATATTTTATTATTCAAGTGATCTTTCCCTCCTAATTCCATGCATAACTGTGATTTTATAAAAAAAAAGATTTGTAATTATATATATCTTGATTAAAAAATATCGAATTTCATAAATGTACGTCCTTAAATTGAGTTGAATTTTATCATTGTATTTTTATTTTGATTTGGAATATTCGGAAAAAAATATACTTCATAATAAGGGTATCTTTCAATTCAAAGACTTTTTCCAATTTCTTGATATATCTTCCATATTTTAATATGCAAAATCACTAAAATATGAATGTGGGTACATGTGCAACAATAATTTTTGGAACTCATTAGCTGGGTGATATAATAGTAACTTTCTGCCAACTAGAATTATTAGGATTCCAATCTTTATTCTCTTTTCTTTAATGAACAAAAGAGCTGTTATAATGAGGGAAAGGCAAATTGTTTACTGCAAATTTGAAAGTTGGAGGAGGGCGGCAGGGTTCGGCTTGAATCATGAAGGGCAGACCCAAATTCAACCAAAAACCCCAAAAAAACAAAGTGAAAGTAAAAATCCTTCTAGAAATGATTACAGGCTTATGTTGAAAGTGACTAATCTTGCTTCCTTCACCTTTAGAAAAGCTGCCATGAAAGAAAACACTAGTAATCAGGTTTTAGTTACAGTTTTGCTTAATCAAACAAATAATCCATTTTTACCCCATATTTACCTCTCTCAACTTTTATCATAAAAGGAAAGGCAAAGAAAAGGTCACGTGAGGAAGGGGATGAGGTCACGTGGAAGAGAGGTGTGGCCTGCACAGCGTATAGTATATATATAGATTCATGCAAATTACTGTGATATGAATAATGACTGTTTGTTTTCTTGTGGAGGGGATGTTTTTTTGTTTCTGTCCAAATGCCTGTGTTTATTATGTGGTGCGTGGGCTCAAACTCTCTCGACCATTTGTCATTGAGTCAGCTCTTTTCTCTCTCTCTCTCTCTCAAAGGAACACTGTAGAGAGGTAGCTTTATAAGCAAGACTTGCTCAATCTTACCTGCTCAAGGTGGGGGTCAATGAAACAACAAAACCAAGAAATAAAAAAGCTAAAGAGAGAGCAAAAAAAAAATAAAAAATAAAGGGTCTTAAAGCTTAAAAGAAAGCTGATAGCAGAAAGCAATAGCTTTTCTTCTTCATGTTCCCTTCCTCTCTCTTTTGTCTATCTTTCTCTCTCTGCTGGGCCAATTTCCTTTGCGGTATCAGTAAAGCTGAATTCCCCTCCTTCCAACCTCCCACTATTCCAACTCCACTACCTGTACAGCTAAAAGATTGATTGATTTGTTTTCACTTCAACTCAATCCACCAACACAACGATCTCCAACATATAGTCTACCAAAGCAACAAATATGCTGGATAACATTACTGTTTCCGCCCTTCCATCTTCCTACTCTGATCCTCTCACCCCTTTGGAAAATGGGGCCACCCAGAAAAGAAAAAGAAAGCCAGCAGGCACTCCAGGTAGTAAACTAAAGCTTTAACATATATAATTAATACCCTTTTTTTTCTTCTTAATTCAATTGATTTTTTATTTTTAATTTTTATGTTTATCGATATAGATCCAGATGCAGAGGTGGTTTCTTTATCTCCAAAAACGTTGCTGGAATCAGACAGGTATGTTTGTGAGATCTGCAACCAAGGGTTTCAAAGAGACCAAAACCTTCAAATGCATAGGAGAAGGCACAAAGTGCCTTGGAAGTTGCTGAAAAGGGAAACACAAGAGGTGAAGAAGAGGGTATTTGTTTGTCCTGAGCCAAGCTGCTTGCACCACGACCCTTGCCACGCCCTGGGAGATCTGGTTGGGATAAAGAAACATTTTAGGAGGAAGCATAGCAATCAGAAACAGTGGGTTTGCGAGAAGTGCTCTAAAGGGTATGCTGTGCAGTCTGATTACAAGGCTCATCTCAAGACTTGTGGCACCAGAGGCCATTCTTGTGACTGTGGACGTGTTTTTTCCAGGTCAGTTTCCCTCGTTGAAACCCCAAAAACAACTATCTTATCTTTATTGGCCTTTCTCTTTCCTCTTTGCTTTCCATTAGATTTTCAAAAACAATCCACTTGTTTTTTCTTTCTTTCTTTTTTTCTATCATATGTAATTATGGTAGCTTTTCTTTTTCTTTCTCATTCAAACCCTAAAAATACCCATAAAAGTTATCCTAAAGAAACAAAACCACATACTCTTGATTTTTTAAACTTTCATACTGTTAAGTATATATTCTCTTGTTCTTGTTGGGTTTTTCACGATCCTCTCCCAAAGCTAAAACAAATCTAAATTATTCAAACTCCAAGAATGATTTCCTCCACACTACAAAATGACCTCAAGGTTCCATTTGCTTGTGATCTAGGCTCAGCCAATAAAACTTTAAGGGCAGTGCCTTTACTTTTCCCAATAACAGGTTTTTGTTTGTCTTAATTAAAATCCAATTAATTTCCCGTAATGCAAAACAGTCATTTGCAGACACACAAGACTTCAGACCCCAGTTCATTTCTTTTGTTTAATTTAATATAGTAAACCTAGTCACATAATCCATACTATAGATACTTAAGTCAATTTTATATTGCTTTGTTCCTTGCTAACCCTACATGAACTAGACTTTGATTTCTCAAACTTGATTATTAAAAACACCAGGAACAATCCAAATCCTTATCTAACATAATCTAATTAATATTATCATTTTTGAATCATTCTTTTGCTATTTGTCGTTTCAGGGTGGAGAGTTTCATTGAGCACCAAGATGCTTGCACTGTTCGACGAGTTCAACCTGAATTGCAGGCGCTGCAGCCTGCCTGCTCCTCCCGATCGGCTTCAAGCACTACTCCGTCAAGCGACGCAAACTTTAGCATAGCCCTGTTGCCTGGATTGCCAATGCCAAAATCAACTGAACCTGTTTGCTTGATTAGTCATGCGTCTACTTGTGACCACCATCGCCAAGTGCAACACAATCTTGAACTTCAGCTTCTACCATCATCAAGCACTCACTCATCGCGGAATTCAGATGAGAATTACTCAACTCATTTAAAGCTATCGATAGGGTCAAGTGAAGGCAGTGACAAGAATGAAGCAAAAAAGCTTAGTTTGGATACATGTAGAGAAAAGAATGTCAGTGAAACAGCATTGGAAGCTACTAGGTTGAAAGAGTTTGCAAATGAGCAGCTAAAGTTGGCCATGGCCGAGAAGGCTTACGCTGAGAAGGCTAGACAAGAAGCAAAAAGGCAGATTGAGATGGCTGAGCTTGAGTTTGCAAGTGCTCAGAGGATAAGGCAACAAGCGCAAGGTGAACTCGAGAAAGCTCAAGTTTTGAAAGATCAGGCGACAAAGAAGATAAGTGCTACCATCTTGCATATCACTTGTCAAGCTTGCAAGCATCAATTCCAAACATCAACATCTGTGGTTCCAGCTGATGAGACCTCACTTGCTATGAGTTACATGTCTTCAGCCACAACAGAAGGGGAAGGAGAGTGACGGCAAGTTGATCATGCAGTGGAAATGATCGATCTTTAGCCCTTAAATGTCTTTGCTTTTGATCTGCATGTTGAGTTTTTCTTTGCTATGTCAAGTGATTCACTTCTTCTGACCATTATCGTGGTTTTGATATAAAAAAAGGGAAAAAAAAGGTCTTTGTAAGCAGTTCTTGAATTGATTTAATATATCTTCATTTGTTTAATAGAAAAGTAGATGATGCAATTTAATGGAATGCAGTGAAATGAAGTGCAATATCTGTATGAGATTCTGAGATGAAAAAATGATCACGCGTTGGGATACTCTCAGTCTCTCAGTGCAATGCTATACCTGCAAGGATTCCATGTGAATGTTTTAAACATGGCTGTACTAGAATTTTTAGCATCGGAGTTGGCACTTGGCATGAAGAAGAAAGTGTTCCCCACCGATTTTATTACACGGAATTATGGGATTCCACTGCTGAATTCCATCATAAAATTAAGTGGCAGAGTAGATTGTCCTTTAGATTATTATTCCCAAAAGAGTTATACTAGCCTGGCTATATTACATATGACTCATATTGAATAATCCTAGATTATTAGGCTTGCGACTTTAAAACCTGATCAGGTACATGTAACTCTTTGAATTCAACAGTAATGTTCTGTTCTTTTGGTTTGTGACCGTTAGTTGAAATGCAATTTCATTGTTTTCTTTTTTATTGGTTTTCCTTATGCTTCACCAAAGGGAAAAAAAGTGTAATCATAAAAAGGTAAAACAGAAAGACGGGATTCCAAAAATTGTAAGTTTATTACAGAAAAACAAGGGTGTTGGATGTTAGTATCATTGTTCCATCTTTTATTTTTCTTATTTTAACCAGTTGATGTTGCTTTCCTTTTCGTTGCAACCATTAAAATAATGAAAAGAAAAAAGAAGAGTTCAAAAAAATAATGGTTGCATGTTAGATTTTTAAGCATTGTATTTTGAAAGGTCTGCATGTATGCTAAGTTTAAAAAGGACCATGTCTTGTTGATAAAGTATAAATGAATGACACATGGATTATGAAAACTCCTGTCTTTGGGTTGGGATTACATTTCTTGGGACCATTTTGGCTAGAAAATAGGAACAAGCATTCAAAGATGCTGATCCATATATTCAACCCAAATTCAATGTTAGAAAAGAAAGAAAGAAAGAGTGTGGATGGAAGCCAGAGAGAGAGAGAAAGAGTGGAAAAGGAATGTCATTTTCAGTGCATTTGTGTCCTTTTAAATGCTTATAAAAACACCATGTTTTTCAGTGCCACAGTTGAAATGGTTATATGCAGGCATGAGTCCTTCTCAAACATAAACAACACACACAATCACATAAAAACACACTTTCTCTCACTCACTTTATCATATTCAGAAGAGGTTCAGAGTCCGCAGCTAGCAGCGAGGGACACAGTGCCTTTTTCATTAAATTGTTGAGCAAAAAATAAATGACTACCAGTTGAAGAAAGAACTAACTACTCCCTTTCTTTTCTTTTCTTCTACTATAATTGAAAAAAAAAATAAAAATACAATAACAAATGACTATCTATCTGTTTTATTTTCCCTTCACAAGTTGAGCCAAGCCAAAGATGAAGAGATGAAGGTTAACCCAGCCAAGGAAAAGGTGAACCGAAAGGTTTCCCTTTTCTCACTTTTGTTTTCTGGTTTTCGGGTTTGGGGGTGCTTTGGAGGACTTGGCTCTTGGACCACGTGCTGCTCTTTCCCCACCTTTTAATGCAGTTTCCTTTTTTTGTCCATTGGATAGCGATGAATGGCACTTACGTTATTTTCAATTGCTTCAAGGCATGGTTTTAAGCAGCTCAAACACTTATATCCCCAAAAAGGCCAAAAAAAAAAAATGTTGTACTCTTAATTTGCATTGTCACAGCTAGACTTACCCAAGATTGAGACCGACGGATGGTCGATTGGATTTTGAATAAAAAATTTAAAGCACTACTTGATCATGTTGGATTTAAAAATTAGTTAAAAATGAAGTAGAGAATAATTTTTCAATTAAAGTTGAAATTCATAGAATACAATGATTTTTTTTATAAGATAATACAAATCGATTTTGATGCCATATATAAGGCTAACATATAAAGTCCATATCTGTTTTTATTTTTTTATTTACACATAGCATCTTTTTGCTATTTGATTGTTAATTTTGTTAATCATTTACCATTTTTCAAATAAAAAGCAAAAGCTATGTTTGAATGCAAAAGTAAATAATATTTTTTAAATATTAAAAATAAAAACACAATAATTTTAAAAAATAAAATGAAAGATTTTATTTTTATATATATTTTTATTGGGATTGGTATTGTATTTTAATCATTTTTTTTTGTCAATAATAACTTTCCTTTCCATTAATTTTCATTTTGCTTTATAAAAACTTAAAAAAAAAATTACATTTTTTAGACAAGCAACAAAAAAAACAAATAAAAATGTTTATATTATAAGACATAAATGAATGGAGTGTAAATGAATGCAAAAAAAAAAAAAAAAACAAGAAATTGAGGCTTTCACATTTTTTTTGGCTTAAATATAAAAAAAATTATTGAATTAAAAGAATAATTATCCAAACCCTTATTATTTTATTATAATCAATTGAGCTCTCAAATATTTGTTTTCATTTAATTAAATTATCAAATATTTATTTTTACTCCAATTGAACATTTGATTGGATGAAAATGGATATTAGCAGTTAATTAATTTTCATCCAATAATGATTCAATTGAATAAAAATAAATATTTGAGAACACAATTGATTGTAATAAAACGATAAAAATTTGAATTATTATTTAATTTTAATTAAATTTTTTTTATACTTTAGCCTTCATTTTATTGTAAAATATTCCTTGGGGCAGGATGGGGAAGTTGGAAAGAGGCAAAAGGAGGAGAAAAGGTGAAAACTTAATAAACTAAAATACTTGTACTGTTAATAAAAATATAGAAGAGAAACATATGTTTTGCATAAAAGTTGGTTTAATTGTCTCCTTCATGTCTTAATCTTTGGTTGATAGCATATAAAATCTTTCCCACATGTAATGTAGGAATGGGAGGTGACGGAAAAGGCCTACTTTTAGAATAGGCAATTGACTTTTCCACACACCTACGGGAAAATGACATCCTCGCCCTTATTGGACGTCCCTTCTTCATTGTAAGTGATGGGATACACGAGATTTTTTTAGGTAAAATTCTTGAAATTTTTAATTACAAAATTAATTCAAAGCAATACTTGTACACAAAATTTAATCAACAATTTGTGAATGGTAACAAATTAATTTATCATAATTTTTTTAAAGGTAAAATAATTTTATTTTAGATCATTTAAAATCAAAAGGAAAGCAATGTATACGAAAAAGAAGCTATGTATTCATTTGTAGTTTAAAATATTTATTTAAATAAAATATTGGCATTGCTAAGAATTTTTTGGATTTTTGCAAATATGATCTGAATGAATTTTATTAACATGTAAGGATTGATACTAAGATGCAACTAATTTTTAATTGAGATTTATTTTACAAATTTTCTATAACGTCTTGCCCTAAAATTTAATAAAGATAATTAAAAAAAATGATTAGCTAAGTTATTCCTTTTTTGTCAAAGAAATAATATGTGTATGTTCTAAATAGAGCTATGTTATTCAATGAAACATAATTCATCTTACTATATATAGTAATTGGTATGTCAAAATCCCTATACAAGATTATAGACACTTTTGAGAAAAAAAATCATATCCTCATATTACACGTGACATGGTTATTATGTTTGGCAGACTATTTCAAACAACGCTATCATTATTTGATAGAAATATTTTGTAGGAATATTTTAAAAATATAATGAAAGAATGAATGTGAATCGATTAATTAATAAAATGAAAAGCTAATAATTAAGAAATTATTCGATAACTTTGGAAAATATTGCAAAATAAAGAAATTAATTTAAGAAATGAAAAGTGACATTCATAACGCACGTTAAAACTATTTCATTTTACTTTGTTTCTCTTTCTGGTTCCCATCACAGATTTAAAAAAAAAAAAAAAAAAGGAGCACATTTCGTTGATGGTAGTAATTAGTATGATAAATCCAGTAAAAGGTTTTTTAATAGCAATTGTTATGGACAATTCTGCTTTAAGAGGGAATCAATGGGCCTAAAACTTTGGGCTTTGCTTTGTCCAGAGCAGAAAAACTCCAGGTTTGGGCCTAATAAAATAAGAGCCTTTCAACTTTGGACACATAACCATATAAATTCAATTTCATACTTTGACAATGGAGTTTATATTTTACATATTATTAGTGAATTAGGTTATTACATTTCGTTAATGATTTAATATAAATTTTTATTAATCATTAATATAAATACACCAAGCTTAATTTTTTTGTAAAAAAAATCTCATTAATTAATTGATATTATCTGATTTATTTCTAGTATATAAAATTTATATATTGATATTATATTAAATATAAACTTTTTATAATTTTAATTTAAAAATAAAAAAATAAAATAAAACTTACGTTAATGTAAATGGATTTCTTCTCATACACGTGAGCGATCAAGTACAAAACAGGATTACATTGTATAGATACTTATTAAGATTTTGCTTGAATGGTACATTTTATTTTTTATTATTTATCTGTATTTTCAATTATTTTTATTTTTTACTTAAAAAAATCCAATTAAAGGGATCCAAAAAATTTTACACACTTCTTTGCTTTTTTTTTTTTTTTTGTAAAAGTAATGTATTAAAAAAATCAATAATTGATTTCACATATTGTTTATATAGTTTAACTCCAAAACACAAACTCATAGACGCTTGATTTTAGGCAATAGACAGTATATACACATTCACAAAATTTAATGACAATTTCATGTTAATTAATTTCTAAAGTTTTTACTATTACATGCGTATGACACCTTAGATTTCTTATAAAGTCTGGTTAGTCATATATATTGTTTTTTTTTACACGGTTACCATAGATATATCAAGAGTGCATATTAGGGAAAAAAATTCTAAAAATATTTAGTATTACATACATATTCTACCAAATATGCCATCGACATTAGCTTTCTTAAATCTTACAAAGTCTGAAATGTCATAAAAGATTTCTTCAATTTTTAACGTTCTCTGATATGTTTCAAAATTTAAACCTTGATAATGTTGATAAGAAATTAAATCATATTATCATAATAGAGAATGAGCTCTAATCTTTTTTTTTTAAGTACATGA